TAGTGCTGTCAGTCAGACTCCCAGTGCACAGCAGTCTGATCCACTCCAGGTTTTACAATGATGTTCAACAGACTCACAATGCACAGCATTCTGATCCTCCACAGCTCTTACAGCAGATGTACAGCACTGGGTTTGCTTTGTGCTGGCTGACTGTCACACTGTGATGCAATTAGGGGATTTTCCCCACTCTGCTAGTTCTGGCAGTAATACCCTCTCTCCTCCTGAGTTTATCTCCCTGCTTTAATTCTCTGTGATTAAATTAGCATCAGGGATCGCATGCTGTCAGTTCAATAAACCATCAGCCTTCTTCCCACTATTTCTTTTATTCTTGTACATGCTTTTCTGATATTTAATTCGGGAGAGGAATTAATTTCTCAGCCCGGCTGAGAGATGCTGATTAAAATATTAGGAACAGCAACATCTCATTACCAACATCAGCCAGCTGGAAACTAGACTATATCTGTATCTTCCATTCTCTTCCTGCATCTGTCCTGCATTTCTCTTCTGTCTCTTCTCTTTCCTCTCTCCTCTCATCTCTCTCTCTTCTCTCCCCTCTCTTCATCTTCTCTTCCCTCTCTCTCTCTATATCTCTCGTCCTCAGGTGAACTGCAATAGGAATGTGCCAGCCTATGTACCCTTTCCAGCCTGCACCAATGCGCCAGTGTTTGTGGTAGTGTGTGCTCATGTGTGTTGGGCTGTCTGTGTCTGTGTATTCCAGTGTTTGCCAGGCTGTGCCAGTGTTACAGTTTGTGCCAGGCTGTGTGGATCTTTGTGTCAGTTTGTACCATTGTGTATGCTGGACTGTGCTGATGCCAAGCTTTGACATGATGTGTCAGTGTCTGTGCCAGCCTGAGCCAGTGGGTGGTCCAGTATGCCAGTATGTGTCCCACTGTTAGTCAGTGTCTGTGCCAGGCTGTGCCAGTGTCATCCTAGCATTTGTCGGTGTGTGTGCCAGTCTTTCAGTGTCTGTACCAGTGTCTGTGCCAGTCTGTACCAATGTATCAATGTGTATTCCAGTCTGCAGTGTCTGTACCAGGCTGTACCAATGTGTGCTCCAGTCTGAGTCTATGTCTGTCAGTGTGTGTGCCAGTCTGTATCAGTGTCTGTGCCAGTGTGTGCTCCAGTCTGTGTCAGTGTGAGCTCCAGTCTGAGTCTGTGTCTGTCAGTGTGTGCTCCAGTTTGAGTCTATGTCTATGTCAGTGTGTGTGCCAGTCTGTGTCAGTGTGAGCTTCAGTCTGTATCAGTGTCTGTGCCAGTGTATGCTCCAGTCTGTGTCTGTGTCAGTGTGTGCTCCAGTCTGTGTCTGTGTCAGTGTCTGTGTGTGCTCCAGTCTGTGTCAGTGTGAGCTCCAGTCTGTGTCAGTGTGAGCTCCAGTCTGTCAGAGTGAGCTCCAGTCTGTGTCAGTGTGTGTCAGTGTCAGTGTGTGCTCCAGTCTGTCAGAGTGAGCTCCAGTCTGTGTCAGAGTGGGCTCCAGTCTGTGTCAGAGTGAGCTCCAGTCTGTGTCAGAGTGGGCTCCAGTCTGTGTCAGAGTGGGCTCCAGTCTGTGTCAGAGTGGGCTCCAGTCTGTGTGAGAGTGGGCTCCAGTCTGTGTCAGTTCCAGGCTGTGCCAGGGCTTTGTGGCCAGCCCAGCGCAGCTCTATTAATGATTCACTCTGGGTTATGGATGGGATGTCATTGCTGGCAGCTGGGCGCGATCAGACTGACGACCTTTCCTAATGGAATTTAATAATTGATCAGGGAACGGGTGGAGGAGGGGGCCTCACATCACAGAGCCATCTCCGGGCCCCGCAGAGACCCCCGAAGAGCAGATTAACACTCCTCTCAGGCAGGCTTGTCAACCTCATTACTGCCATCAATCGTCTTAAATAATTCACTTCCTCAACAATCTTTAAAATACCACACCTGTCTGCCAGCGCCCATAGCCCTGTGACAGTGTGCTGTGCTGAAACCATGGTAAAAGTGCAGAAAGCAAGGTAAAAGTAGACAGTAATGAGCAAGAAGTAGCAAATTAACATTCCATCATCAATAACTATAATGACACTCAGTCCAGCTCCTCTGTATCTTCACATGAACACTCCTTCATCATCATCAGAGCTGGAGAGT